CCATATTTTGAGTATACATACTTTCGTTTCAGATAAGCCCTATTATGCTTTAAACACCCTTCCATGATCTGATAGGTGACAGTTTCGGAATACTTTAGGATTCATAGCCATCTGCGCTCTTGGTTATTCATTTCACTAACTTTGATATCGATTTGGAGTAAGCCGTATAAGATGGGACATAATTATTCCAGCATCTTATTCGTTGTTACAAGAGTAGCTTTTACAGTGAAGTTAAAACTACAAACATTATTATTAAAACAACAATGATAATTTCCATGATAGATAAGTTACATTCTAACCATCGAACTTAAATTCTATGAACCTCAACAACTGTAAACAATAAATATAATCAAATGACTGTTTTTCCACTTATTACCATACTTGACCTTGATAAAACAAAATCAGATAGGTTTTGTCTCATTTATGAGGAAAGATATTTAATCAATTAACTAGTTATTAGAGAATATATGAGCGACATGACCACAAATAAATTTTTCAGAAGTTAAAACTCTATAACCCTTGCAGTTCATGCACTTGATTGAAAAGCTGTTGAGTGAATAATTTTCAAAGTTCAAGTTTCTATTGAGTAATCAAAGTAAAAAAAAATAAGAGAGACAGTTTCAGTGAATAATTCTTTTTTCCAAACTTTCATACTTGAATCTCAATTAAGAAGTAATAGATTATTTCACGAAAGCAGGTACTGTACAAGCGTGTTTTTTTTTATACGAAATTTGGGCTTCTCTATGTATTTAGCAAATGTTTCGCCTATACCCTTAGCAGATTTATACTCACCGGAATAATGAATTCAACTATTCAGGTGTCTTGTGTTATGTCATTGAGAGTTTCATGCATCTGCGAATGTCTTTTATCAGCTATCAAAAGACTAATATAAGCAATTCTAATGAGACTATTAATTCCACATACATTAAAAGCCAAGATCAATTTATGTGTATTTACGGTTATTAGTAAATCTAGGTCGATCAGTGAACACTAGCCGTAAGGTTGCCAGATTTAAGATTTGTGTAAAGATATTTGACATCGCAACACTAAATTATCTGAGAGCTCATCATCATCTCTAAAATTAACATACTTGTAAAGTATAAGTATAGAACTCATGTCATTAATTTCCTGAAACGTCAGAAGTTTGAATTTTCAGTAATAATCTCTTTCCATGAGTATGTTTTACAGATTGCTTAAATGTACTTGGATTGCCTCAAAATCTCTGAACAAGAAATGAAATGTAGTTTCATTTTGATCAATGTTCATCACCAATGTTCATCATCAATGTTCATCGTCAACGGTAAAAAATTTCAAAAATGGTTTGAGTTCAGGATGACCACAGTTGAACTTCTAAAGATCATGATTAAAATGGCAGATATTTTCGTTAAAAATAAAAAGCCATCAACGATGTCATTAAACTTTATTGATAGCAAGTCTATATGAATAGGCATACAAATTCTTAATCTAATTTATATTTAAGCGTAATATCTTTCAGATTTATTAACATAAGCTGTGTAGGCAATTCCTCTCTTCTGTCAAACGTTTTACATTCACTAACCAAGTACTTACTGAGAAAAGACTCAGTTAAATACAATCAGTTTATGTTAATAATACTTTCTTTCAAAAGTTAACGCTTCATAATTCTTTTGGCTTCATTCGTTTAAGTTATTTATATTTCACTTTCAAACTTGACAACTGTTTTCTTCACGCATACATTTATTCAAAAGAGCACTGCATATTTTGGTAACACAATGCTGTGTCACCTAAATCAGAGGATGTAACTGAAGTTGGATCAGGAAGTTAGACAGTTTGACTATTGTGAGTATCTATTGATGAACATGTGTTACTGTTATAAATTTTGATAAAAAACAAAACCATATTCGTTCAAGTAAAATGATATCTTCAATTAGTGTTTAACAAACAGCTTAGTACACTTACTAAATGTAAATGAATGAAATATAGTCAGCTAAAAGGGATTCCAGTAAGTGAAGCATTAACTCCACTATATTAACTTAGTTTGATATTCACAGTGGGCAAAATATTACTGATTAATAAACTACTGTCTGTAATAAAGTTCATTATTTTAAAAATATATATATGCCAAATAAAAATATCTCGTAGTAGAATCATAAGAAGAACTTAATATTTTAAAGATCATATATTTTGTAAGCATTCACACTAAAACAATCGTATATAAATAAAATCTACTCTTTTTACTCTTTGTACTATTATTTTCTTCATAAAGACATCCTTTTTTATACATTAAATAAGGAACGGTAGATATACACACAATATGACAACTAGTTCATCCAACATATTATGATATTTATGTCAATAAACTACTGACAACTTACAGTTAAGTCTTCTAATCCATTCCACTGTTCTTTTTCTAACATATGATGTCGTGCTAAACAATTTTTTTTCGAGATAACAGTTTTCTCAAAGAACAGTATAAAACAGACTGTCTAACTGATAATGCATTCGTTGAGTTAGTAACTACAATAAGACAAAATCTTTATATCTAAAATGCTTATCATTCAAACATAACGAGTCTAACTATTGACATGAAGTAATGAATAGTTTTAGACACTGATGAATCACCAACTAATCAATTATTGCCGGTTATAATCTTCTTGTATTATAATTGCGAATGTTCATCACTTCATCTGTCTACTCCATTATTTAGTATCTTATATTTAGTTTAAAAAAAACTGTTTTGTTCTTTCTAGTCAAAGTGGTTATGATAGGCAGTTTAGGCTTTTCTTGTACATAGTGAATAATTTAATTTATTTAACTGAGGTCAAGAGTAACATTAACAACAACAACTTTATGATTGAAAGCAACTTCATGCAGATTCGCATTTATAAAACCATTTCAATGTTGCTTTTCTCATGCTATGGGTAAATAAACTTTGTACACTATTGAATACTGTCAGTCAAGGTTTCACAGCAAAACTGTGCGCTACAAAAAGACAACTTCTTTTTAAACAAAACAAGTACAGTAAGCAATATATTTAAATTTAGAATAAATCTAACTTTGTAAGAAAATAAAACTTAAAGAATCAAAATTTTCTTATTTACTAATAATGAAAAAGAATATTTTGTTTGTCAAGTTGTAACTTTTTCTGTGTCAATGGTTAGTTTTAAAAAAAATATTGTTTATTTTATAATTTATAATGAAAACAATTATAGAGTAATAAATTCAGTGTTAAATTGTGACGTATTTAACTTAATTCTAAATGTTTGATAAAGTGTTTGGTTATTTATTTTAACTGTGATAATTGTCCTCAGTTGAATGTCAGTTATTGTTTAAAATCAAGATAATTTCCATAAATTTTGTGCAGAGAACGATTTGAATTTTTGACAGTTTCTATTAATAAACATAGAATTTGGAAGTCAGCTTTTTTCCGACATTCACTGACTGACAATGACTTTTGATATTGGATAATCTACTTGTAAGTTTCACATCGACCGACAAGTAAAATAAGTCTTCATAATACTTCGAGAATTATGGGCTTAATATCTAAATTTAATAAAACACTAGTTTGCTGAATGTAAATCATATATATAGTGTAGAAATCAACAGATTCAGAGTATAATTCCGCTGACATGAAATAAGTATAATTTTTACTAAAGACACAGTTTCAATACACAAACCAATCAACACTCAAAAACCTTAGCTTTCATTGTAAATTTGCAGTGATTGAATTGAAACAACATTAATTGCGTATTTTTAAAATGTTAAAATGTCATTCAAAGCATGATATATTATGTTTTAATGAGCTCTGTTCTGAAGAAATTTCTAACTCCATATTTATTAGTAAAAAAATGGAATAATAAACAGATCTTATAAGTAATAAAGGAAACATGTTAAAGACTTTTCGAAGTATTCTGTTACAGAAAAGTTAAACCGTAGTATAGAAACATTTTAACAATAATATGAATACGAACCGATTCTTATTAAAATAAAGAACTTGAATTTAATGTCTATATAAATGGGATTACAGTCTTAACATTCTGTTAATTTTGATTCCGTTTTTAAGCCATTTGGCATTCTAAATCAATAATCTTTACAGAATTGGTTTATAGATAATAATATCCTGTTCCAAACAGCAAAATTTCCAACAGATAAGATATCTAAAATAAATTTGAGGTTATGAAAAGGTTTCACTCTGTGTAAAAGTTACATAAATATTATTTGATTAATTATAAGCTCAGGAGGCATTTTAATATACATGGCATTTCATATTGAAAAGATCTCTTTGTTACGTTAAAATCTAACGTTATCCATAAAAGTGTTAGAAATACAAAGAGTTTGAAAAAAGTTTGAATCTAAGGTATCATAAATCTTTATATCTGAGTAAGGCATCTCAAGACATGCTGGCATTTATAATTGTGTTCTTATAAATATATCCTTGAAGTTTATTCCACCATTACTCGTAATTCACTCGATTCATGCCATATTGATCAATTATTCTGTTTGACTGGTGACTAAAGTACTTTTAATGTGTGAAATGACAACATCCTTGTTAAACATTTGGTAGATTAATTCACGTAAAGCTACTGAAATGATATTAGGTTTGATTACTTTAGTTAAACAGAAATCTTTAGATACTTTTCGACTATCAACCATAAGACATTTTTTATGACTTACTAGTCAGAACGTGACACAAGCGATCAAATTGTCAAATCCAGTCACTGGGGTGGTAATTGTGAGTTTCATTGACACAGTATGATTGAATAGTTAGATTAAAGTTGGTCAAGTCAAGTTAATTCATTGTATTGACCATAAAAAACATTGACATTTTCACTTTATTAGATCACTATTGAAAAAGTCAGTAGTTATTGGTTTACATTAGTTTAAATTAATACATATTTTTTATTTTAAAATACGCATCACATATACATCAAAACATTTCAGTGTTTAACATATTTTTCAGTGATTTTATTTGTACATAATGACATCATACCAAACAACAACGATTTACCATAGACTGGTGTATGTTGATAAAATTATATTGGTATTCTATTGCTGTAGAATGTCAATGGTTTTTTTTGAGTCAAAGTGAATCACTTAAAGTAAGCAAGAATTAGTTATCCGAAAAAAAGAACTACTCATTATCTATTGTCCACGCGTTAATAAGTGTATTTATTTTCACTTCACCAACATCAATGAAAAATGATGATGAAGAATGAACCAAAGTAAACATTGTTCTATTTTATAATTTAAACTTTTAAACTTTTCTAATTGAAAATAAATATTTACTGAATATTAATGCAAATTAGGTTGTTTATATTATTTTAAGGATTTGTGTACAAGTTTGTAAAGAGTTTCACATTTCGTAAATGTCAGTCTTTGTTGAGAACAGTTAATACAACAAATTAGTCTCAAAAAACATCCAAACTGAATACACACTATTCCTAAATATTTAGGTGTTAAAAAACAGGGTTTTGTACCTAGCTATGTTGATTAACACTATAAGAACGTACGTGGAAAATAAGGAGCATCGTTTGATTCTTTAGATTACTGGTCGATACGCTGATATGTCAGACTTGATCTGTTTAGTCTTAATTCAATAAAACATGCATCAACATATTTCCTACTTCTCATTGTCACAATAAACTAGTTGTGAGATTATTATTTTTAGCAAAAAACAGCAAGCTTTCCGAGAAATATATGTATATATACTTAGAAACAAACAGGTAACTAAAATAATTTACTACCCCTTTCTATTAACAGTTACTTTTTGTTAAGGCGGTAGGCGGAAAAGGAATCAAAGTAAATTTATAAAAGCTATAAAATGTGAATGTTACATTCGTAAAAATAAAGACAAACGATTGGAAAGATTGAATTGTCTTTCAAACAGACAAACTACACGATGACGCCTTTTTAAATCTTGTGCTTTATTTAATGCTAACTTGCATTATTCTCACACATTTTCAAATAAAAGAATACTTTTAGTTAAATAAATGTACCAACTAGAATAATAATACAATGAATCACTACGTATTTTTTCAGTAATTTCTAGAAGCGTCAAAGCCAGGCAGAAATTAAAATCTAAAATCCTAAATTGATGTTATATTGATAAATTCATTGGAATTCATTATTATAATTTTTTTTCACTCGTACAAAATACAACTACCGGTAACCTGCAATTCTACACAGAAATCAGTCAGTTAAAATTTTACCATCGAGTTTACAAAAAAAATCAACTTATTTTGAATTTTTTAAAATTTCTGAATAATTTTCTTTCTATACTTCTAATTTCATTACAATGAATAGATATAATATTGTGCTGATGATATTTCTTTGACTTTAAATGAGAATTCAACTCTTAATATGGCAAGCTATTACAATCATAGAATTTTGTTCATTAATTTCGTCTCAAAGCAGTGGAATATCATTACCGATTAATAGTGATAAAGTTGAATGAAATCCTTAAAGGAGTTATAGATGCAGATTGCTGGGAAGTACCATTGTAAAAACACTTTGTAATATGAGCTAGCTTTGTGTTGAATTTCTGAAAAATACTGTTATCTTTGAAATAGTCTGTGTACGCACACAATTCATACAAATATTTGTTTGAATTTACCATATTTACATTAAATTAAAACTAACTACAGTTTTTTGAAATACCTGACTAAAATTTTCTAAACGTTATTTAAAAATTAGCGACTAACCAATATTATCTTTTAGCAGTAGAGATAAATGAAATCTTATCTCTTATTGTTATGTTATATATTTTCAGCATACATTTGTTTTTTTATTCAGGAGTAATGTCATTATTTTTATGTACCTAAATGGATACGAGTAATTTAGCCTGATGTAAAAAACTGTTATCTTAATTCAGAAAATAAAACGACTTACATAATCATTTGAAGACTTAAATTATCATTTTTTGTTCTAAAGTAGCTCTAACCGTAATAATTAAATTATTTGAAATGTCATTCAGTTAAATAATGTTTATTCGTATTCCTACGCTCTTCTAAATATCTGAAACTAATTAATTTAGTCTGTAATTGTTTAATTTTAAATTTTTGATCGAACTGTGGAATGGTCACTGAAGAAAAGAATTCAACAAATTGTTTTTGTTTATCGACTGAATATCATTTTTGAAAAGAATAAACTGAAACAGAATTGTCATTATGGAGTGGCGAAGATTGTTGAGCTTCACTGAAATTAGAAATCGATGAATGTTATAACCCCACCAGAAACCTGGAAGTACTGGATGGCCATTTCCTCCTATAGTGAGACTCATCGGCAGTGCGTATCCACGGGGCCTGCACGTGGGAATCGAACCCAGGACCCTCGGGAAAGTTTAGCCACTTGACTACTGAGATAGCATCTAACAGTGTTAATGTATAACCTCATTCAACGCGTGAGGTTGAGTGACTTCATCCATTGTCTTTGGCAGACCTAAAACCCTAAATGGTTGGACTCTATTGGTCTGACTTTAGGACGAGAGGGTCGTCCAGTGCTTTCAGGTTTCTGATGAAAGTCTAGCATTGGTCGATTCATGATTTCAATGAAACTGAATTGTATAATTACTGACAGAGAAAGTGCACATCTGCAAGAGCAAAAATAATTTGGTGATTTGTGAAATTAATGAAGACTATTCTGTGAACTTTCAAACAACTAAGTCAGATGAAGTTTTAATGGACGCTATGTGGTAATATTATTTTCAAATAGATTTACGGAGATTAGTGTTTTTACACATTTGAACTCGTCAGTCAATCCTTTTTAGATCAGCACTAGGAACCTGGAAGCACTGGTATGGGACTCATCAGCAGCGCACATCCACGACTCCTGCGGGACTCGAACCCGGGACCTTTTGTCATCATAATAATTATCAAATTGAATATGAAATCTTAAAAGACGCAAGAGGTTATTCTGTCAGGCGTCGAGAAACCTTTGCACTTGAATCGCAGTGGACCTGAGAGATCAAACTTGTAATTATTGCGTTCAATGTTTTTCGCTCTTTTTTCGTTTTACGTTACATAGTTGTAGACGATTATAACCAACGCATTATGACACTGAGAACCGGATGTCCCTTTAGTTTATGACTGATGCGTCTCATTACTGTTATTTATGTGAAAAATGTACTGCTTGGACAATTTTTGAACTCGAACATTTCAAACAGTATAATACGACATATACATCTCCTATATAAAATATTTATTTCTATACCATGCTGATCATGCCTGTAAACAGACGAAAAATCTGTAATTATTATTTTCAGAATGCATTATCATTGTTAGTATTATTATTATTTAACAATATCTTAATTTTTATTCAGTTAAAGATTCAACTTGAATGCACTTGTAATCAAAGTATGATACGATTTCGATTATTTCCACACACCATAATATAGATTTCTATACGGATTTAATACACAGTTTAGGATCATGCAAATTTCCTTTCAGAAATTGAATAAAATTTTGTTGTTAAACTAAATCACAATTATATTATTATTTATTGAAAAATGTTTATATTGTATTCAAACAATAATGACCGATTTTGCCAATCAAATTGTTGTAATTAATGCTATATATGAATATTATTGATTAATGAAAAAAAAACAATAGACAATTAATTATCATACTAATGGACGTGATCAATTAGAGCTCCATTAATGTTTATGATAGCTATTAACTGCATAAAATAGAAATTTATTTACTTATCAATATTTATGACAGATAATCGTTTCTATTTACTTACAAACTATAATACATTCAACTAGTTTAGCTAATTTAAACAAATAATTTTTATGAAACATTGAATTAGAAAAACAACTCAATAGATTTTTGGTATTTTTTAAAACAACTTATATATGCTAACTATTATGATAAATCTATGGATGAAGTTTAACTGTTACAGCTTTACTTGTGTTCAACACAAATTTTCTACATATCATTTGATCTTACAGAAAAATTCTCCCCACTTATGACATTTCTAATATTTATTATTTTCAGATCTTATTATGTAAATCAAATGTGTGTGAATCGAATTTAGAAACATTTTTATGTTTAGCGTTAAAGTACGGTCCACTAAATACTAGAGAGAATAGTAAATCTTTTAAAGAATACAATGAAGAAATAATTATGAACAACTGCCATCTAGTTTTAAGCTGTTTAAATTTGCCACGAGGTAAATAATCACCCAAAGTGATCAACTCATTCTGCCATTAATGTAAATGCAATAAAGTAATATTTCTCTAACTATTTTGGAAGTCAACAAAACCAGTGAAAATATTATTAAAAGAACAAGTAGTAAATGTTTGAAATCCCTGACATGATTTTTCCTGTGTTTGGCAAAATTAAACTTTACAAGAATCAAGAAGCATACGTGTAATATATCGATTTCTGTGCACTATTACACCATTTACAACTTTGAATTACATCAGTTATTGCTCGTGGATTGAACCGCCGGTTTAAAATTATCCATCATTGATCACTGTTGCTTTTGTGGAATTTTAAAGTTTGTAAAGGAATTGTTTCCTAGTGTTTCACAATTAAACTCATGAACTGATGGGAAACACAAAATCATTCAAAACATCTAGCTCTTTTACAAATTGTTTGTTATTTATTTAGGGATGAAATGCTTACTGTAATGAAAACTACATAGTATTAGCGTTTCATTCCTACTTTTAAAATTAAAGGAAAAAATAAGACCAGTTTTAGGTCACTATTATAAACATGTCAACAGTGGGTGGCCGTTTCGCCTTAGCATGGGACCCATCAACAATGCGTTCTCACTATGGTTGAATGCGGGAATCGAACCCAAGATCCTCGGTTTCGCGCGTAAACGATCAAACTCTTGACCACTGAGTTAACGGTATTCATGTCTAACTGGAATCAATCCACGATATAATTTTCTTATTCATAGCCTCCACAAGATCTCCAACTATAAGGATATTATTACTTTAAACTGAGTCAAAATTTCTGATAAATTATCATCAACTGTTTCTTTTCAAACCGACTTAATTCCTACTTTTATTCTTAAGTAATTAATTGAGACTGTTAAACAATCATGTGATCTCAGTTGTTCTTTAGTTTTACGTCCATTAAGTTACTAGTTGTTCATCTTCAGGAAAAACAGTGATGGACATTGAACTTGCACCTGTGAATATCACCGAACTAATCTGAAACATCAGTCCAGCAATTTCCAGTGCACAAAAGTTTTCTAAGGTACTGATATAAATTACTATAACATTCATTTTTATCAGTAAAAGTACTAGCATAATATTGAATTTTAAAACGAAAACGCATTAGAGTCAGTCAGAAACAATTTATGGTAAATTAGATTGTAAATTTGATCATTAATTTTTATAATAACTGTCTTTTGCTCAATGAACATGTGCTTTGGATTTGAATTTAAAAACAACTAAATTCAACTATTTTTACGAAGCACTATTTTTCAAATACCATCCGAATAAAACTGTTTAAATTCAAAAAAAGTCTGGTTAGAACAAAAATTTTGTATAATAGATTTATGAAATTTTACTAGTTTAATTGAATCATACAATTTGAGGATAAAAAAAATAATGAAATCTTTTAGCTGAAAATGAAAAGATTTCGGATTATATTTACCTACATGTTTATGTTAAACTTGAGCGAATATTCAATTTATGTATTGGACCACAGTTAGTCGACAGAAAATGCACATAGATTCATGTTTGAGTGAAAACAGTCAGTCTAATGTTCATGTTTCTTTGAGTACCGTTTATTCCGTTGTTAATTCACTTGTTACACGGGTAATCAGTCATGAAACAATTTTATAAATAAAAATTTATGAGTTAAATCCTTGATTTTTTTTTCAAAAATGTACACATTTCTTTCTAAAATAATAATTTTGCCCAATAATTGCTGGTTGTAGTAAAAACTAACAAAAAAAGTCACTATGAATATTAAATTGACTAATAAATCAACCGAAATGAAATGAAATTAAAACTAAAATCTACAAGTTATTTTTAAAATAAATCATTTGCAATGAAATGACAATCACATATTTTTTTTATCCACTTTTGTCGAGTGTCAGTTTTTTTTTTCATCTCACTGAACGGAATTCATCATAAATTTATAGAGTTGAGATAAAAATTGATCCAAGTAAGTCTGAAAATTTACTTTATTTCAAAAATAAACAATTTAATCCCTTTAGAATATGCTGGAACAGAGGAAAATGAAAGCATTCCGATGAAGAAAATTTCCTCTTGAACGATTACATTTTCTGAAACTATACAATCGTATTGACCAGGTAACTTTTTTCACCTGTAGTAATCTAAAATTAAACAATAATACAAAACTATTAAATATAAAAAGGAGTGTTACATAACTTAACAAAGTAGTCAGAAATTATTAAGCACTAAAGTTATACCATGGTTTTGAGAAATATAAATGTAATAATTGGTATTTAAAATGTGTAAAATTTAGAGGAGTGTTAAGGTAAGCCATTTAAAATGAAACTTTGTTTATAAAGGTTAGGTTTGAAATAGTGAATAGCTATAGACCCAGTTGAGTACAAGCTGTTAGTCTGAACCTATTTCAAGTTAATTCTTTTGATATTTTACATGGTTTCCAATAATGATTCTCATGATGTCAGTTTAGCTTGAGTGAGTCGACCAAACAAAACTGTACAAATAATGTAATTGTTGCTGTATTTGTTCTCTCAATACGTCATTATCTTTTTAAGCTTTTTTCAATTGAGATAATATTAGAGTTAGATTGCTTGCAAATGGAAAAGGTTGTTTGGTTAAGCAGAGCGAAATAAAATTATATGTCGTTTAATAATAACAAAATTAAAAGAAAATGTAACAATTTATTCTGATGTATAGATGTCGATACACTGTTATGGTATATGCTCTCACTAGCATTATTATAACTAACATTAACACTCTTCAAACAACATAAATATAATACTGTTACTATTTAACATTATTTACTTCTTGCATTGCACATTGAATCCAGTTTTCTCTAATTCCTTTCTATAAAATTTCACCAAAATAAATGAACAGAACAAATTATTATGTCCAATAAGTTGTAAACTGTTTTATTCTGTTGAGATTATAAACTGGTAATTAAAGTTTATGTTTTTACTTGTTATTTTAGGAAAAAAATTTAATTCCTTAGGGGAATTAAACGAATGCTGATCGAACTAGATACTATGTATCATTATGACTTTTATTAATATTTCAATTATTCGATTATTTGTATGTATTTAAATAAATTTTTTATGGTTTTTTCACATAAAGTAATATTTTAGTGGTGTAGACAAAAATACATTAATTCCTTCGGGATGATAGATTTACCACAGAATACATACAAAATAATTGAATAAATGAAATGTTAACTATGAAATAAATGATAAATTATTAATATGGTTATATCATTGAACACGTATTATTTTGGTCAAAAACAGAAATCGATATTCATTTGACTAATTTAATTCTCAATAGATTTTAGTCATTTTATACCTTGTCCATACCTTGTACCATACAATTTGTATCATACAAAATTTAAACAAGTACTTCTAATGTAATATGCAATAATTTATTGAAAACAAATAGTTCTTTGATTTGTTTTCTATTTAAATGTTACAATAATCAATTTACTGTTAGACTAGACAAAACTAAAACGTAGAACATCGTACGTAAGTATGCACATCAGTTCAAGTTGCCATACCACATTAGCATTGAGATGCGATTGCCAGTTCAAATCCAATTGCAGTAGATGTAGTAGATTTATTAGCAGTAATGGAGAAGATTAGGGTCTGGAGAAAATAATCAGGAATTATAATCCAGTGAAATAAATTTAAAAAGATAAGGAAAAAGGTGATCAGGAATTTAGAAGGTTAAAATTTCAGAGAACACGAAGAACGATTGCACCTGCGCCATTCCAAGCAATTTTGAGCTATGTCGGTCAAGGTCTCTAATAATCGATTACTATTGTTTCGCGGACCCCAAACAGTTAGTCGACACCTGCCGACATGACTCACTCCACTGGTCAGTGACATCATGTGACTTCATGTACCTTTTCTTGGTTTGGCCGCCCATAGCTTTCGTCCAACCTACTCCTATATCTCAAAACAAGGCAGTCGGTGGTTAGGTATAGGCAACACATGTCCCAGCCATCTCAACTGATGAAGTCTAAATACTTCATCTATTGGTTAGCCACCCTTACCTAGTACCCGTTTCCTAACGACAGTATTGCTTACTAGGTTGTCCCATGATACACGAGCAATGCTTAGAAGATACCTATGATCGAAAACCAGCAATCTACTAATATATTTTACTCTGACTGGCCATGTTTCGCAGCCATAAACTAAGATGGAGCGAACTACCGCGCAGTACTTTCGTCCTCTCATCAGCGAGAAGATATCTAGCCTACGCCATAAGTGACGAAGGTTGGCAAAAACCAGTCGAGCCTTCTGTATCAATGATGGGATTTCGTCACACAACAGACCATCAGCACCGACGAGACTACTGAGATAAGTGAAGCGGTCAACATGTTCAACTGCTTTACTCCCTATCACTAGTTCAGGTGCTAATACTAGCTAATTCAGAAGCGACATTTTGCATTTCCATGGGGAGAATCGCATCCCGAACATGCTTGCGTTGTTGCTCAGGGTAGTCAGGAGACACTGCATTTTGTCAGCGTCTTCACCAAGTAGAACTATGTCATCGGCATATTCTAAGTCAACTAGTGAATCTCCTGGTAGAATGTCTACTCCAGAAAAATCAGACGATAACAGTTTTGCCTGTGACAAAACTGAATAAGAACGCAGAAAGCGGACATCCCTGATGGACACCACTTGAAATAGAGAATTCCGATGACAGTTCGCCATAAGCTCTAACTCAACCCTTAGTGTTCGAGCAGAGAGCTTGTATAAGGTTAAGGTACCTCTTTGGTACATCTTTTAATGACAGACACTGCCACAGAACCTTACAATCAACAGAGCAGAATGCCGCTTCAAGGTCAAGGAATATAACTTTAATCGGACGCCAAAATGTGTGTATATGTTCCAGGACCTGACGAAGGGTGAATATATGGTCTATAAAGCGGCGTCCAGGTCTGAAACCAGCCTGATTTATTATAGTCTGCGCTTCACGAAGTTTCGTTAGGCATCAGAGCATTACTGAGGCTAATATTTCAGATACTATATTAGTTAAACTGTTAACTTGTTACATGGCTGTTTAACTGTTTTTCTAGTTGTTGTTAAAATATGTTTTTAGCTTTTCTATTACTAAGTAGGACTCTAGAATGTTTCCTTGCATCGTCTTTCGTACCTTCGGTAAGACGCAAACAGATACGCGCTCGTTTTAGATCTGAGTCTAAACCTCTACCTCAGAACGAGCCACAGTCCTCTATTGGACCCCTCCATCTGTGGCTGATGGCTGTGTGATCTAATTGGGTCCACTGTTGTAACGACTTTGGGGGGTCGCCATGTCAAAAGATGTTTTTTCTTATGCTTAAATTTAGTGTTTACTAGAAATAGGCGGTTATCTGGGCATAGTTGCAGAAGACGGTCGCGATTATCTGTTCTTTGAGACACGACAACATAAGATCCCCCGGTGTCTTTCAGCATCGTTTAGTCTATCTACTTGAACATTAAAGCCACCAGACACTATTACTACATCAAAGCCCTTAACATTTTGGAGGAGGTTGGAAAGCTTCCCATAAAATTCATCTTTCAAGTTTTCCGTGAGGTAGTCAGTGGGTTCGTATTCAGATACGACGAAGGGGCAACAGAGAGTGTCCCTATCTTTCCTAGTCCCTAACTGTCCGTTTAGTCGGACAGTTCTTGAGAGACTGTCTACTGGGATCCAGTCTAAGAGTGATACTTCTACTTTAGAACTTAATGCTATACCTACCAGATACACGAAGATTAAATCGTTTTGGTTGTGAGCAAATTAATCTCATGTCCTGCTACCGGTATGAGGGTGGATGTCACGTCCTGACTGCCAACACCATGGAAGGGTGTTTCTTGAAGAATCTGAAAAGGAAGTTGGATAAACATCGGTCTCAGCGACCTGGGAGCGTGACCGTGCAGGGCCTTTTAATAGAACATTGACATGTTAGCTCTGCTCTTCAAATGGCCTTACCGCCGGAGGCGGAATTCCATGACGTAAGGTGAGATGTAACATTTTTAAGGTCAAACTTTCCCAACCCCGTCCTCCCTTGTTCGAAAGCAGCATCGCTGCTGCTAGTTGTCCCAAGGAAACACCTTACTGTTGTCACACCTCGTTACAGTCAGCAGTACGACTTCGCCCTCAGACTTTAAGTTAGTGCTTTTAGTTATAAATTCCTCTATCGACCTGCCTGGCATGGTATAACCTACAGGATAGTTCGGTTAGGTCATCACGCTACGCAAGCTCAACCAACACGTCAGTATATTAGCTACGGTCGGAACTACTTGACTGACCAAACCAAATTCATTTATATTTTGTTTCATTTAATCTTATTGAAATCAAATAAAATTTGATGAGAAGATGGTTTAACTATTATTGATAATGTTAAAGCGAAAAACGTACCATATGGAAATTATGGATGAATTCTACATTAATTACATCAACATATTAGTACATTCTCCCTGAAATAAAAGTTACCAAAAGCAACTGGTAAATTAATTTTGAAAAAAACTATTTCCAGACAGTTAAATAAACTGTCATTAATAAAATTATCATTGTTTGTCGTTCTTGAGTACTTTTTTTAACTGATGAAAGTGTTTGTTAAAAATTTTAATAAATTCTTTTTATATGCCCCATAGACATCGACTACAAAGTTCATCAGTCCCAAACATGTACAATAGTTTTTCTAATGTATGCAATAAATATTTACTTTAAAGTAATAAGCGCAAAAGTTCTTGTAGGATTCATTTTCAGCTTGATGAGACCTTGAGATATTATTTCTCACCATTCACTGTGGATACTATGAAAGCACAATTCCAAAGATAATATTCTTCTCATAAAATTCTTACAAACATTGCACACTAATTTAATTAAAAGTGGTTTGTTTGTCATAAGCATTTGACATATTTCGCCTACAAAATGCATCATGATGTCTTTAAGGGATGATCACCTACTTACTGATCTTACTGTTAAGATGCAAAATGAACAGTAAAAAATTTGTTGATCATTTAAAAAGTTAATATTCTCTCAGTCTTGGAATCTAGTCTTTATGGATAATGACTGACTGTCAGTGGCATCTACAAGTTGATGATTATCCCGTGAATGAGACGTAAATCATAAATCCAGTTAAGGAAGCCAAATCTCACAAGCTGTAAACTCTGATATTTACTACTTAGTACTGTGTTACTATCATAAACAATGTCTTTAGTCATTTGCATACTGTCATGAAAGTTGTTTTCTTCAAGTTTACGTTACTCATCTGGAATTAATGAATGTTTATACTGATAAATAAATAGAAATTTATTTAAGACTTCAGAGTTTACCAAAATAATTCATAGAAGTTTTAACAACTGTCATTTAGAAGCTTTCAACTAACTTTTTCATGTGCATATATATATATATATATATATATATATATATATATATATATATATATATATATATATAATACATGTGGGAATATTTTGGTCACTTATACGTTAAAGGACAGTGTCACAAGGTCTCACTGACTTGCGTATGCACATCAACTGCACACATATGTGTACGTATGTATACTCTTTCTCGCTGTGTGTATACAAATACATATATATATACGTATAAATTCCTTGTTCATCTATATGTGTATGCTTACAACTAAACACTTACTACCTGGATATGAATTATCTGAATTTAGTGATCAGCTGCTGCTGCAATCTGACATTGGCTATTACTGTCATTGAAAGTTTCTCTAACTTTTGGTGATACAACTGTGGAATAGTTTGACATATGTTTCTTATTTTTCCTCTTCTCCACTCTCTCTCTCATTCTCACACTCTCAACCTTTCTCGTCCATTGTGACAATAAATAATGAAAATAATAAAAATAAATGTAATAACATTATTAATACTATTAGTACTTACTACATTATTAATGATGGTGGAAGGGGTACTTTTTTTGCCGTGTATCTTAACACACATACACACACACACACACTGGCCATTCAAAACAAGAGAGACAGACTCAGATAAATGTGTTTATAAGCCTATACATTTGTGTGTTCGTGCATAGTTGAGTGTGTATGTGTTTTTGTTTCAAATGTGATGTGGAACACGTAGCAATTTACTTTTTTACAATAATTCCACATATCGGATGTTATCCTTCCAATATGATTGTTAAATTGCCATTGCTCTCTACGCCTGATACCCATACTGCCCAATAAAAACTCAACAAATGGTAAATTATGAGCAGTTTTGTTTAGTCAATTACAGATTTATTTATCCATTGGACATTGTATAAGAATGACACAGTTTTAAAATACCAGGCTATACGAATTGTTTTAATGCTATGATCACCTGCAAAAAAATTTTTATTCATTAATCAATTAATTATTATCAACATGAACATGTGGAGTTTTATTCATTAGAAATACTTTTTCTCTCTCTCTCTCAATATCAATGTAATATTCATTAATTTGGTAAGTTATAATTAATAATTATTATGATGTTTAGTGAATTTTTCATTGATGATAACAATAATGATACTTTGTTGCTAGATCATGTGATGAAAACCGATATTAGTATGTTTGATTAGGGATAAATTGAGTAGGATCGCTAGTTTGTGTATACTTTACACTGGTTCATAGTATAATGTTAAAATGACTATTCATGTTTACAAAATGCTTGACAGATTGTAGTTTAGGCTGCAGAATGAGATCACCACTGTATTCTACTGATTTTTATTCTTTCTGCATTTGGTATATTGAATCGAATGAAATCAGTTAATAAGTGGATACATAGAGCGTAAAATATTACTCGGTACACAGTTGGATGTGTGTTTTTCAATTATTTTAGGATTTAATTTCATTCCCCTATTATGCTTACTGGTTAGCAGTTTAATCAGTGTTTATTATTACAACTAATAAATACGCATAATACTGTTGTCCATATATAATCATAGTAATACTTTAACTAATCAATAAGTTGTCAAACTAATAAATGCACCACTCTTATCATTATAAGCAAATTGAGATTACATGCATATGACAATAAAAATACATGTATCTAACAAAAACACGATTCTGACATAACTATCATACACCTAATGATGTATAAAACTATTTAAAACTTGGTTTCAAAATATTTTGATATACATTTGCTAAAACAATGTAGCGTATCAGTCTTATAGAGATTATTGAAAGTGTATCTTTACATTCCAACTAAATAAAAGGTTTCTCTGATATCATTCATTTATAAATATCACTACTGACTAAATAAATACTATATGCAATATGAAAATTTCTCTATGAAATTCTAACTACAACTATAAGCAGCTTATAGATCTACCAAACCCTAATCCTAACCGCCGGTTTGCATAGATGCAAGTGTACATGATAGAGTCCAATATTGTGTATGTATCGAAATTTCAATGTCCCGTCTTTCATAGTAAAAAAGTTGATCTGTCATTTATGATACTGCTTTAAACTGTCAATCGTATTTCGAATTTATGTGAAGTTTGAGATCAGTCAAGTGATTCCGTTAAGCCTATATGGTTTTGAACAAAAGACATACTGACTTGATAAGTAACTGAAGTGGATTCCTGAACTTGTAGGCTTATTTATTGTTCAAGATCTTTTATTATCTACAATATACACTTTTTGGATAATCAGTAGTCATTCTATCCAACAAAAGATGTACTCAAACATTGTTTAACTAATTACGAAATAAATGTGGACATTTTTTTCTAATATTATTTGAAATGTAGGCTACATACATCCTAATTTAGCCCATAAATCTTACAACTTTTGTTAAGCGAAAATGTCACTTCCAGTTATCACTTAAAAAGTAAAGTACAAACAGCAAATATCATTTTTAATTAAAATCTGATTGAAACCTTGATTATTTTGCCATATCACTTATATTTTGTTTCTTAAATCAACTGTATAACCGTTGATCAGTTTTACTGTAAAGTTCATACATATGCATTTAAGCATGCGTAGATTCCATTACATCATTACTGCTCATTATTAGACGTTATTTGTAGTACCGATTCAGTAAATGCTGACATCTTTCTTTTTTTTAAATGTTATTATTTTACTAATATTTGACCGGATCAATGTGACATGAACTTTCCATTATGTATTCACTTCTAATTTAATTGTAAAAAGAAAAATTACTAATCCAATAAAGGCAAATACATTTTCAACACTTTCTTCTGACAATGGTTGTGAATTTATAAAATGAAACGTATTCGCTCCCAGAGTTTCGTTATATTTCTGTTCTGATAAATAATATACCTCATTCTACATTATATATATATATATATATATCTGTAATACCTGATAAATTTGATGCCATTAGGGTGTATTCTGTAGCTTTCCTCAGTCCAAAACTAATCGTAGTACAGATTCTTCTATTCATTTGTTCTAATTTAACAAGAATCTTAAATCCCTAACTTCACTTCTTTCAACCGAAGTCTTTTATGTGATAAATAATTACACATTTGAAATGATGAATCAACCACTGTTAGACCACCATCAGAAACCTGGAAACACTAGACGGCCGTTTCGTACTGGTATGGGACTCATCAGCAGTGTGCATCTACGCATCCTGCACCTCACAGGATTCGAACCCGGGACCTTCAGTCTTGCGCGCAAACGCCTAAGCTCTGAATCACTGGGCCGGCATCCACCGGCGTTAATGTCTAACTCTGATTGATCAAGGGATTTTGCGCGACCTCACCCATCTGCCTTTGGTAATTACTGCCTGCACCAGGCAGAACTGAACAATAATCTCCATAACTCTAATCGAAAAATAAATAATTAACGACATTGAAATGATCGATCAATAATGTTTTTTATTGGTAGTTGAATATAAATGTTATCACTACAACTGGAAATTTTGATCAATGAACTTTTATCAACAGTTGAAATTAACTAGTAAACGCTAAGCGAAAACCAATCATGTAGTTACCCATAGTTTCTCACACTTTCGTGTTTAGTGTCAATACCTTAGATAAAAAACATAAATGAAATGACGTGCTAAGACCTAACTGTATTCATCAAATGGCATAAAAATGTAAAACAGTCACATGTGATCATTGATATTAACAAATATTCACATAGTAAGCTACATTAGAAATGATACTTTTCCTGATTGTTGATGAAACCATGTAAAATAACTATCAACAATTGTTCTTGATGAAAAACAGCCAATGACAATTGTCTGTTAATTGTTGAAAATTCCCATCACATTTTACTAACTACAATTAAACATGTGTTCAATAAGTAAAGTAACACTCGTGATTAATCGATTTTTTTTTACTTGAAATACTAGTTAACATTCAGTGTAAATTAGATTCTGTCTTTTATTTATTAAACGTTACAATTGTAACATTTTAATTGTTTTGTACAAAAATTCAGTTAATTGTAATTTCACGTAAGTTTCTTCATTCATTTTGTTTAAATGAAAATTTTTTCTCCTGGAAAAAAAAACATAAATAATTGCATTTAATTTTATTTAATTTGATAATGAATTTCATTTGATCACAATGGAATAAAATAGAATTTCAATTAATGCGACGATATACGTCATTAACTGCGATTATTTTCATTAGAGAAAATCATCCATTATTTACACAGCGACATACACACACACACACCCATATTTGTACAACCATATGAAGGTATAATCATGTTATTTGTAAAATTCTCACTTCTAGATTGGGGAAGAAATTAGAAAACAAGTAAAAGTTCTACCGGAAAATTGTTTTTTTTTCTATATTTTTTTTTCTCTAGAAAAATTGTTTTCCATGGAAATTGAACGATAAGCATACAATTGTTCTTTCTATTATATCACTGTATGATGAATGATTCGTATATCTTTTCATTCTATCTATTCTTCGATTAAATTATTGTCGAGTTAATATATAATGAGTGAAACAAATGACAGTGTAGAGAAAAAATGACAAGAATAATTTTTTATAAACAGTACAATAATAAATAAATAGATCCTAATCATTTCTGCATTTTTATAAGTTGTGACTAGTGGAGTTCGACCCGCATCAAGTTGGAGACAGTTATCCACTGCCAGCAATAGATGCAGGTTACGCAACATCATAGTTTACTTGAAGTTAAACACTAACACTATTAGATGTTGACTCAGTGGTCAAGAGGTCAAACATTCGCTCGCGAGACCGAAGAGTACTGCTTGCGTAGTGATGGATGCACAATGCTGATGTGTCCCATACTAGGGCGGAACGGTAGTCCACTGCTTCCACTGCTTCATAACAGTGATTTAACATAGATCAGTTCGTGATTTCGAAAGACGAAAATAATACGATCGCTATAAATCTCCACAATTAATTTTTAAAGTCATTATTATGAATATTTTCATTGGTAATGGAGATTTTTTCCAATACTGACAAAAGTTTTTTTCTACTAGAAACGAACATTAGCCGAAGAAACATTGACACCTGAAAAATCATAAAATATATCAAAATTATTATACGGTTGGATTCCTGGGGCTTAAAAACTATTCTTTATTTGGAGTTACTTGATCACTAGGTACATCCTTATGTCATACATTAATTTTGATCGTAGGTAAAATATGAATGTGTATTTCATAGTAAACTATAATTCAAGAGTGAAACAGTAATAAAATTTCTTATCTTCTGAAAATTCGATCCGAATAATTTTGAGTAACTAATATCTAGCTAATATCTAACTTTGATTAATCCTAGTTATTACATAACCTGACCTCTTAGGTAGATAACTACCTATACCCGACAGAACTGAACTTCACTGCTCATAGATTTTCATTGTAACTCCGAAAATTTCCTCAAGAAGTTAGCCACGAGTGAGCATGTTTTTTAATTATCTTCACGACAGATATTCACTACTAGTTTCCATAGTAAAAATAATGTTTTCATGCTTTTATTTACTTTTGATTCACTGCTACCATGTTTAACGAAATTTTTATTATCACTATTACTGTTACAATTATCAGTTTGACAAAATAAATATATTTTTGAGATTGTACAGCTTGGAAAATGAATTCCTCTGATAATTATCTTATACTGAATAAGAAAACAAGCATTGTCACAAGTACATATAAATAAAATGAGTGGAAATAAATGTTTAATATGTTATTAAAATGGAAAAATGTCAATCACTACTCAACGATTATATCGTAGTCAAAGTAACTGTTTTCAGGTTCTGTATAACATTTTGGAGTAATACAACATTTTTGTCAGTGACTTGTTGAAACTTAAACAGATATTATGGTACTCAAGACTCAGGTTGTCTGTCACGTTCTTTGTTCAAATGAGGCGTTCAATAATCCAATTCACAGATTTAGTAGGTATTGTAGTGCAATTTTTCACTAATGACCTGATTCCAAGTGTTTGAATTGATTTACGATTGTCTGGTACAAACAGCGTATCTCAGTCAGACTTTCAAAATCAGAAAAAAAATCTCTG